AAAATCCTATAAAGATCTCATTAAAACAACTCAACCTTGCTTAACTAGTTCATGACTTGCCTAATGATTAAAACTCTTTAGAAAATTCCAATTATTTTCGCTTAATGCTAGTCTTCCATGCCCAGCGAGAGCACCCGTGAAGCTACCAAGATTTAATTTGAAGAATTTCGTCTAACAATTATAGATGACACCCAACGACAATCAAGTCAGTGAGTTCTTTGTCTTGGACATCGCTCAGCGATAATACTCTTGCCTAGCAACCACAAAGCCAATAAGTTCATATACTTTGTGCCGCTTAGCGAGAATACACTTACCCAATAACCATCAATTGAGTGAGTTCTCTAACTTTGTGATGGACAACCTCACTCAGCGACTCTACATAATACAGATAACAAAATCTTTGCAAAATGATAGTTTTAATCATACCAAATCTCACTCTTAAGCTTCATACAAATCATAAACACACCAATTTCAGATTAACAAACATAATCCAAGCCAAAAATTACAATTATACTAATTCAATCTTTAAACCACATTCATCGATACATACATACATACATATATATATATATATATATATATATATATATATATATATAGAAAGCTCACAATCTCAAACCATTATAAGCATGTAATTGAATTAAAACATTTAATTTCACTATCTACAACTATTAAACATATAAACTAAAAGCAATAATTTAGTACCCACACCAAAATTCACCGTAGAACAAACATATAAGAGTAAAAATTAGATTCCCTTATTACATGATATAACAACTCTAACTGCTCTAAAATATCAAGACTCCTTCAGTCCCACTAGATGTTCTATCTACACATAGAAACATCATAACAATGATTAGACCATGATTACTGATGAATAAAGATTCTCATTGATAAATCATAAGACAAATGCAATAAAAGAAAAATTACATGTAAAAGAGAAACATACAAACCTAAGAAAGAGACATAAAATTCACTTACTCAAATGAAGAATTTGATTGAATATATAAGATTAGCTCTATAAAATGATAAATCGAAACAAATAAATAAATAAACAAAAAACTTTACAAAAGTAATTTCTAAAAAATAATGAGTTTTTTAAATAATAAAACTCGTAAAAAATCACTATTATTTCTATTAGTTTTTAGATCTTCACATAATTAAAAACTTATTTTTTATCAATTAGATGACACATTTAATAATAATTTAAATCTCACATAAAATAATACAAAAATGACAAGTTTCTTAGTAAAAAAAAATACTTATTTTGACAGAAAATTTGATCGATTAATTTTGACATAAACTTAATTATTTTAAAAAAATTTAAAATTAAAACTAAAAAAATATGAATGTATTTATGAGGTACTGTAAAGAAATTAAAGAAAACAAAACTTAAAAAGATAAAATTTTTATATAAATAGATAATAAATTAATTTTATAATATCTCAACATTTTAAAATAATACATTGGTAATCTATTTTAAACTCCCTCGTCTAAATTTTTTTAGAACTTGTCTTTGCATTCATTCTTTTTAAAATTTTAGTGATTCATTCTTTTTAAAAATTTTAAAAATTGAGTGATGTGAATGTGATTTAACAAGCATAATCAAGACTCAAAGTAGCAATTGTACTTTCAATATAAAATATCACGATAATAAATACATTTTAACTTTTGGAGGTAGGGAGCTTTGCTTAGTTAAAAAGTAAAAATTTAGACATCACTCATATTCACAATATAATATTATAATGTTACTGATTTAATACTTTTTTATGTATAACAATAATACACTAATACACTATAATTACTAGAGAATATAAAAATAATCTTTAAATACTAGAGCTGTCAAAATGGGTAGAGCTGTCAAAATGGGTCAGGGTCATAACTCGCGGGCCAATCCAGCACACAATAGGTTTGAACTCGATTGAGTTTGAAAAAATTGTATTTTTTTTATGCGGGTCAGATTTCAACACGGTTTATTTAAACCCGGCTCATGTGGGTTGAACCCGTGGTGGACCGGATTGGTCCACCAACCCACCTACCTAATTTTATTTTATTAAATTAATTTTAATTTTATAAAAAAATATTTATTATTATTTTTTGCTATAAAAAATTATTTAAGTTCCTTATTTTCAAAATTAATTAAACACCTTAGGAGTGAAATTTGTTTAGATTTGAATTATAAAAAGTTTGTAATTTTTTTATTTAAAAAAAATTGTAATTAAGTGAGTCAATGAGCCAACCGGTTTACCCACCAACCCGTGGTGGGTCGGATCGAGTTCGAATTTTTCTGGCTCACTAATAAATGAGCCGGGTTGGATTGACTCACTAAGTGGCCAACCCGTGGTGAGCCGGGCCGGGTCGAGCCGGGTGACCCGTTTTGACAGCTCTATTAAATAGTTTTCAATTTTACGGTAAAAGTATTGGATACANTAAATTAATTTTAATTTTATAAAAAAATATTTATTATTATTTTTTGCTATAAAAAATTATTTAAGTTCCTTATTTTCAAAATTAATTAAACACCTTAGGAGTGAAATTTGTTTAGATTTGAATTATAAAAAGTTTGTAATTTTTTTATTTAAAAAAAATTGTAATTAAGTGAGTCAATGAGCCAACCGGTTTACCCACCAACCCGTGGTGGGTCGGATCGAGTTCGAATTTTTCTGGCTCACTAATAAATGAGCCGGGTTGGATTGACTCACTAAGTGGCCAACCCGTGGTGAGCCGGGCCGGGTCGAGCCGGGTGACCCGTTTTGACAGCTCTATTAAATAGTTTTCAATTTTACGGTAAAATTATTGGATACAAATAAAGTCTCACATAGGATAAAACAAGAGAGGAACATTAATTTATATATACCTCCACTTGGAGAAGGTCTTTTGGATGGTATCAAAAGTAAATCGGTGAATTTATAATAATAATTAATTTAAATACTAATTTATAAACTAAAATTTATTAATTTTTAAAATAATAATAATTATAAATAAATAATTATAATTAGTTTATAAATTATATTTTAATTTACTAAATAAATTAGTGTTTAAGTTAATCACTAATAATTTTGAGATTAATTATTATAATATTTATATCGAAATCATGTAAAACTATTTCTGATTGTCAGTTTTATGCATTTAGCAGTAGATTTTTGTTGTTAAAGTCATAATAAATATGATTTAAAATAGAGATTTTGTAATAATTGTGGTTGAAATAACTGACAATGTAAAACAACAAATGGAGGTTTACTGTAAAAGTGAGTGGCAGGCATGAAGAGATGTATATTTCGCACGTGTCCCACCTACTCATCCTCTGCACGTGTCAATTGCATTGCTTTTCTTGACCAACCCAACCAAAACCTTATTCATTAAATGTTCTTGTAAAATCTTTTAATTCTTTCAATATATTTCACTAATATTAATTTTTTGGTTTATTTTCATATTTAGATCAATGTTAATATTTGTTTAATAACAGAAAATGAATATCTTGTGCATTTCTAGGAGAAATATGTTTTTAACACATTTTAAACTGTGTATTTTATTTAATAAAAAACTTTTCAAAGATAAAATAATTTTTAAACAATGGTATTCAAATACTATAAAATGTTACTCCTTTCGGTCGTGATACATATCAATAAAATAATCAATTTCATTGGTTTTATCAAATTTGTAAAATGATATTATCAATATATTATATTTGATTAGGAAAACAAAATAGTATTTCAAAAAAGAAATACAAAATGTGTTATATAAATAAATCACTTATTTGTTCTAAATTATGTGTTATATTAAATAAAAAACTACCAATAATTTAAACAACACTATACCAAATCAAATACTAATATACTTTTAAGAATAACATTTCAAAACAATAAAAACATATTACAACAATACAAAAGTGTCCTAAATAAGTGACTTGGTTTTTGCTTTGTCAAATTTGATTTTAAAACCAATTAATTTTACTCAGAAATAGAACATAATTTCAACCAATCACAGTTCAAATATGAATTCTTGTATACATGTCATTCATTTTGTTTCTGCATTCAATCCTGGTTGATCACATTGCATGAATGAAACAAGGATGAGAATTTTAGTCTCAAACATTTGGCTTTTTTTTTTCTTGTTTTTCCCTTTTGATTTTTTATAAAATACAAATATTAAAATATTACAAAGTTTTCAAATTATTGAAAAACTAAAAAATTATAAAAATACCCATATGCACAGAAAAATTAATAAAATTAATAAAATTAATAGATGTTAACAATTTTAGAAACAATAACTTATTTATTTCAAATTTATTGATTATATAAAAAAATTTCTAATTTTAGATCTTTCTGTGTTTATTTTATTCTTGATTAAATAAAAAATAATTTATTACATGCAATAACTTATAATTGAATAAAAATATACATTATTTTTGGATTTAATTAAATTTTAAATCTATTATAAATTTGTGTATTCTCAATTAGTTTCTATTAAATTTTTATACTTTTTAATCCTGTTTAATTTTTTAATAGATAAAATAATTATTATTTATTATTGTAAAAGTCAGATCATAATATTATTTTATTAATTAGAAATTTTCACTTTTTTAACACCTAAAGAAAAAAATAATATAATAGATTAAAATAATAATCACATTACTTAATTAATGGAAAATTAAACAACAAAAATTTAATTAAAAAATACAAAAAATTAAATGTCTAATAAATAAAAATAATAAAATTCAAAATTAAGAGGACTTAAGACTTTATTTACCATTATTTTATAAATATATATGCTATTTATTTAAACAATTAAAAGAAAGTATTACTAATAGACAAAAGATGAAAAAAAGAAAGAAACCTATTTAGTTACTATACAAACCAAATGCTAACAGTTGCATACTAGGATATCATATCTACCAATTTCTCAACTAATTCCTATGTTTATCAAAGTGTTTTTATTAATATGTATTTTCCACAATAATCATGCTCCTAACCCCACCAAATTCAGCACATGATATTCTCCCTCATGGTGGCACCAAGTTTCTATAAGCCCATTCTTCTCTGTTCCACTGTGGTTCAAGAAGAAACTTTTCTTCTCCCTCTCTCTGTCTCTGTTCATTACTTCACGCATATATTCCTTCAAATTCATTCTACTTTCTCTCATCCAATCAATCAAGGTACCCTCCCTCTCTTCCCTTTCGCACATTCTTTGATCCTCTTTTTCTTCACGCCAACTCTCTTCTGGGTTTCTGTCATCTTCAGATTCTCATCAGAACTTCATTATTGTTATCTTTTTATTCCTTATTGGTGTTTGGTTGCTGAGAAACTCCCAGAAAATAACCACTGTTCCCATGTATTGATCCTCTTTTTGCTCAAAGCATCTGTCTGTGTGTGTGTAGAGTCTAGAAAGAAACTCAGAGTATTGACCGGCTTCTGAATTTTCTTTGGTTTTTTGGTCCTTCATTGGAAAAATAAAAAAAGACTAGTCTTTTTTCAGTCTGGGTCTGGTATTCTTCTTCTTTTCTTGATAATACAATATTTCCCTTATTTTTTTTTTGTTTTTTTGAAAAGTTACTTTGTTGAGAGTGGTGGAAAATGTTGGGGACGGCTTTGCAATTTGGAGGTGTTCGTGGTGATGATCACTTTTACATTCCGGTGAAGGCAAGGAAGAACCAGAATCAGCGTAAACTGGTACAAAGAGAGATGGGTGGTGAAACTGAGAGTGCTGATTCAATTTCAGAGAGGGAACTTATTGCTTCTGAGAATGGGAATCCCAACGAGTCTTCATACTTGTTGAGCAAACCATCTTCTTGCTCTTCTGTAGAGTCTGCTAGCAACATTGATCGGTTTCTGGGGTCCACAACTCCTTTAGTCCCAGCTCAATATTTAGCTAAGGTTGATCTCATCTTGTCCATTATGCGTCTTTTCCTTTATGCAATTATGGAGTTGAGTTATCTTCTGAGTGATGATTTTTACTTTACTGGACTTGGAGAGTACAACAATATCCACTTAGTTTATTTTTGAGTGTGAAATTGCCAAATTGATTTTGGTTAAAATTGAGTTTGAAGTAAACTGATTTATGTTTGAGTGTTTTTATTCTCAAAACAAGTTAGTAGTAAAACTCTGTAGATTTTTAATCGAATGCAAAAGTTGATTCAGAATATCAATTCTGGACCAAGAGTCAGTTTGTCAGAATGAACGAAATATGTGAAATATGTGAACGTTATCATGTTGGCTGATGTATATAAATGTAATCTTGGATGATTCAACCTTAACAGCTAATCAAACACATGTTTTTTGGTCTTTTTTCTGTTCGTATCTAACTTACAGTTGATGGAATGCTAAATCTTGCAGAAATATTTTACCAGCTTTAGGCATAAGATTGATGAATTTCACTCCTTTTTCACTCAGCTTACTTACTCTGGACTTGGTTTTGTTATGTTGTGGGTGTAGACAACAATGAGAGGTTGGAAGACTTGTGATGTAGAGTATCAATCTTACTTTGCCCTAAATGATCTCTGGGAATCGTTTAAGGAGTGGAGTGTATATGGAGCAGGAGTCCCTCTGGTACTTGATCAAAGACAATCTGTTGTCCAATACTATGTTCCTTATTTGTCGGCTATTCAGCTATATGGTCAATCAGACAGGAAGTCAAATACTAAGTCAAGGTATTAACAATTTCTCATCTCAATTATTAGGAACTTCTTTTTAACTTGGATTCTTTCTTTATTTCTGGCGACTGATTCCTGTATGTTGTCAATAGTATGCCAACAATACATTGCTTCATGTCTTATTGTATGTTTTTCTGAAGAATGCACTACTGCGCTTTTGTGTGTAACCATACCATGTCTCCTTTTTTTTTTGTCATCAGGTACACCAGTGAAGACAGCGATGGTGATTATTACAGAGATTCAAGCAGTGATGGAAGCAGTGACAGTGAATTTGGAAAAAGGACTGAACTTTTTGTAGCGCAAGGAAATGGTCAATATCATAAAGGTGACGTTTCGATTCAAATGAGCAGGCTATCTGTACATGATAAGCGCAATAGAATGCAAGAGGGATTTTCTAGCGATGATAGTGAAACTGGGAATTCTCAAGATCTTCTTTTTGAGTATTTTGATCACGATCCTCCTTATAGTCGTGAACCATTGACTGACAAGGTTAGTACTGGTTTCTATTAATGTGTGGCTTTTTTGCTGTTAATTTAAACAATCCATCTTATATGTTTTTTATTTTATTTGGACAGATACTTGATCTTGCACGGCACTATCCTAGCCTCAAGTCACTGAGAAGTTGTGATTTATTGCCAGTTAGTTGGATGTCTGTAGCATGGTGAGAACAACTTGATTTTTTTGCTTTAGTAACTATTGCTGCATTTTCTACTATCTAACATTTTTTATGCATCTTTCAGGTATCCTATATATCGAATACCCACTGGTCCAACATTAAAAGATTTAGATGCATGCTTTCTTACATACCATACACTGCATACACCCTTGACAGGTAATCATGGAACTTTAACCTTATGTTTGATCTGCAGTGGCATTGTAGTTCTTACTTATTGTAATGCAGCTATCTAATGTACATGTCATTGTTAGATTTACTCATGCATTTTAATGCCAAGATTCGTCAACATTTGGCCTCATTGTTATTAGATGTACTTTCATATTAAACTTATTTCTTCTTTACCTGTTTACAAAATCTCAAGAACGTAAGATTATGAAAACAAAATATTCCTTTAGAGAATCAAATATGAAATACGCATCTAAAGAGTTTTTCAATCCCAAACACTGGCACATAGCAGCATGTCTAAAAGTTTAGATGTAGATTATAAATGCTAAAGATTTCAAAATTAAAGGCTAATTCAAAAGTAATAATCAAAAGTCACATATATTAAGACAAACACATTAAGCATACAAGGAATCAAATAAGTTTAAGACTATGAGGAATGTGAGAGCAGGAAGAAAAGGAACAAAGGGAAGAACTACATTAGTGCATTTAGTGCAAATGTTCTGCATTAGTGCATTTCCTCATCTTTCATCTTTGATAAGGAATAATTTGTTAGAAGCATGCCTCTCTGAAAAATTATTCTAGTAATAGATTACTTCACTTGGTGATTGATTTTATAAACTTTTTCATGCAAGTAATGCTTTATTACAAAAAAGGTAAAGGTAATTAGAGTTTTATAACTTTACCTTCAATGTGTATTAATTTTCTTTTGATTTGTGCAGGAAATGGAGGTACCCAGGGTCCAATTTTGGTTTATCCAAATCACGTGGATGGTGTACCAAAGATTTCCTTACCAACTTTTGCAATGGCTTCCTACAAGTTAAAGGGGTCTATATGGACACAAAATGGAGTTAGAGAGAGTCAACTAGCAAATTCTCTCTTGCAGGACGCAGATAACTGGTTACGGCAGCTTCAAGTGAATCACCCAGATTATCAGTTCTTCAAATCACATGGCACATACCACAGGTGAACCAAATGAGATGACATGTCATTACCTTCTGATGGCTAAAGCTGTTAGCCTTAAATTTCTGTGTTCATTGCTCAATTCAAACTTGGTATGGTCCATCCATCAATAGAGACTGATGTTTGGCACTTCTAATGTGGATTCCTCTTCCTGTTACACAAGCTTAAGCAGCACAAAAGATGAGCTGGTCTCAAGTCAAGAGTGAAATAGAGATTGCTAAAGTGAAAAAAAAAAAAGAAAAAGAAAGAAGAGATGGATAAAGTTAAAATAAAAGAAAGAAAAGGGGTTTTGTGTGGAGAAAAACTGTCACATAAGTGTAAAATTCTCATGGATGGGAGATAAAGCACAACATGCAACAAAAAAGGTTTTCACGGAAGAATATGTGAGATTAAGCTAGATGATCCCAGACTTTTGAGCTAAAATAACGATTGAGTTTTCAGTCTAAATATATACTGGTAGTTATGTTATGTTGTGATTTAGAAAAGAATTGATGGAATATGTAATTTCTGCATGACAAGGTACTGTTGTGGATCCAAGTAAGTGTATCTGGTGAACACCTTGTTACATGGGCTGTACAATAGTTTACCATTTTAAAAGAAGTGTTGTATTCTTGAGATGTTAATCATAAGCTCTATCAAAGTTGTAGTATTTAGACAAGTATGAATTGTGTTGTTGGCAGTATGAGTGGCATGTTTGGTTAGAATTAATTGGGGGAGAAATAGTGCTTTTTGCTCTGAAGGTTTTCTAATAAAAGAAGATAACATGTCACCCGTTTACCAAATCTGATATGACTCTTTTAGGGCAAAATTGTAAAACATGGAGTGTGTGAAATAGGCACGTTGTAGCGTCAATGGTCCCACCCAATGAAATATTGTTCAGTTTTCATGTCTGAGAATTCAAAGATGTGTTGGGAAACTCAATGCATTGATTGGTGATGCTGCAAAATCATAAATGATTGGCTTTTCTTTTTGAAAATTTAACTTAACCACTTGTGCGATCTTTTCATATTGACTGTTTAAACCAATAGTATTGGACCTGCACTGAACATTCGATTGGTTGTGTCTAGATTTATTTATTTTTATTTATAGTTCTCTTGTCTCAATAGGATTCCTATCATGTTTGTCTTGGCCAAGGGTCTATTGTTCTTCATTTCTCCTTTTTATCTGAACTAAAGTTTCTTCCCTTTTAGTTTTTTGGTGGTTATCTTTTAGTTTCTTCCCTTGTGCAACTATTCATTTTTCTTTGCCTCTTTTCAAACATGATTATTCGATTATTGAAGTATGTTCTAGGTATGTTTTAGGGTGTGTTTGGATATGTATTGGTCGAATTGATTAATTTTAATTGATGTGAATTTGTAAAATTGATTTTGAATGAAAGTGATTTAAAAGTGATTTTGTTTGAACAACATAAAATATGAATGTGATTTTCATATAAATGTTGTTTGGAAACTTGTTTTCAAAATTGATTTTGAGTGTATAATTATTATAATGGACTTTTATATTTATATATAATTTTCATATAAACATTACTATTTTTACTTTCAAAATTGAAGTAAGAAATAATTTTTTAAGTGGTTCCTAAATTAATAAAGATAAAAACATACAAGATTGACTTCATATAAACATACAAGAAAAGACTCTTGTTGTAGGGGAAGTGGAGAACCATAGTCTTTTGTTTGAGGGGATGATTGTTAATATACAAACAAAGTTCCACATAAATCTTTTGGAGTATAGTATCAAAAGCAAGCGAACAATATCTTACCCGTGTGAAGATTTATGTGTGTTGAATCTCCCTACACTCATATATATCAAAGTCGATTTTGGGTGCCTCTGACGTGAAACCAAAGAATTTTTTCTGTTCTTTGAATTACTATACTTGTCTTAACCATGAATTAATATACTTTATACCCCTTAGTTAAGTTAGAGATATTTCTTGGTATATTTACCTTAAAAAGTTAAGGACTTTTAGGTATGAGTAATCCTTTATTAGTAAGGAAAATGATGTTTTAATAAGTAAGCTTACTTTTAGACATGATAGGATTGATTCGTTTAGAAATTCTACTGAAAAAGATTCAAATTTTACTATATTTGTTTTTCTCCTTTATCATTTTTGAATTTTGTGTGTAATATTGACCTATATTTTCAACTTTAATTAATAAAAAAAATAATGAGAGTGTCTATAATATCATACCTATCAGGATGGTGTTAAATCAAGTATATATTTTGATGGAGCAATGCATAAATTATTATGAAAATAGATAATAGTGATACAAGTATAATTATTAAGAGTTAGTAAATATATTTATTTATTTTTTTAACTAGGTAGGTACATCTAAATTTATATTCATAACTTTACATAATGATTTGTTGATATTTACAAATTACATCTGAAATAAAACTAAAACTGTTTACTCAATAATAAGTGGTAATAGTGAAGTTTAACCTTCCCACTTTCTTTTAAGTTCCCATTGCATAAACTATAACATGAAAAAAAAACTTGACTATTTTGGAAGATTAAAATAATAATCTCAGTTAAGCATAATAATGTTTAGTTCTTATCTGACATGTTGTATCATCCTCAGAATAATTATACTTTTGTTAGTTACCAATAACTAAAACCTTTTATTCAATGTAAAAAAATATAATTATTTAAATATTAAAATAAAATATCAAATGACAATTGCATATTTATCAACTAAATATTAAAAACTATATACAATTATATATAATTATAGTAAAAACTCATACTTATAATGATAACAAAAATAATGAAATTATAATTATTAAAATAAATATAAATAAATTTTACGATTTAATTATAGACAACTTTTATTTATTTCATAAGTGATTTTTATTTATTTAGTAAATTATTTTTATTTATTTAATTTTAAAAAATAATTAAATTTAAAAAACCAGTTTAATTTAAATAAAACAATAACTTACAGGATAAAAATAAAAAATAAATAAATATCAAAAAGAAAAATCTCTTTATATATATAAATATAGATTAAAATTTTATTATGTGTATATTCTTTGAAGAAAAACACAATAGTTATATTCTTATTATCTATGTAAGAATTTGTCAAAATTGAAAAAGATGAAGATATAATTTGGGAACTCTATTTTTAATTTATAATAGAAAATTTTGAATTTAAATTTAATTTATAACACTCTATAATCATATTAATTATTCTTTTTCCCAGTTACATAATTATGCTTCAGTTTTTTTTTTCTTTCTATTTTCAACCTGGGTTCCACATTTTCAAATAAAATTTTTATTAGTTATTAATTGAAATACTGTCGTAATAATATAGTTAAATAATGTATTTTTAACCCTAATTGAAAAATAACACCAAAATCAATAATAAAATATATAATGGTATAATCTATATGATTTTTTATAGTAAAATATAGTTATATAATTGTTAAAATTATATATTTTTTATATATTCATTACATATTGTTTACTAAGTTATATAAAATTCCATGATAAATTTTAAAAAACTTACAATTTTACACAATTCATAATAATTTTTTTATAAATTAAAAATATACTAAGTTTGCAAGATTAAATTATTTATCTTAAAATAATACATAAATATATAATTTTTCAACAAATTATACAAATAATTTAGATAATAATAATTAAATAAATTTATAAAATATAAAATATATAATAAATTTATCCATTTATCATGCTTAATATTTTCAATAGCAATATTCCAAATTTTATTTTATCATGTTTGAATTTCATGAACACTCCAAAACTAAAAACCACATCTAATTTAAAATTTGTTAAAGTGTTTGATTATTTATCTTTAGAAGTAAGTTTAGTAGAAGGAAAGCAAAGCACCTCTTGTATTTAGTTGAAAATTGTATTTACAAATCTTATTATTAAAATACAAGTTTCTGTGCATACACCATTTTACTTAAACTTAATTTTAATCAAAGTTATCTTTTCAAAATCAGTATTATTTGAAATAAAGTTTATAAATATAAACACTTACCAATATCTTTGTAGATAAGTTTTAAGATAAAATTCTCCAAAATATTAAAAAGACTAAAATACAAAAATCAAAGAAAAACCCTTTATTCTTTTTGACATTTTTTGTCGGAAAAAAATTTTTAATTTGATAAAAGCAAGTAAAAAAATAAAACATCTCAGAAGCAAACAAAACAGAAAACGTTAGTTTTCAAAACAGGTCCCACTGCTTGAGTGTCCGTCAATGATTATTATCTGGCGAATGAAAACGTTGGAATAACTCAGAATTAAATTAATAACAATTAATTAAAACTATAGTGTAATAGATATTATTTAATTAAAAAAGAAAAGAAAACTAGCCGTTGGAAGAGTTCCCGAATTCAAATGAAATGGTGGCGTCGTGCACACACACCAATGCGCTATCTATCATTTGAATCATCACAATTGCCACACACAGCCATTGCTCTTCCAATTGAACTCAACTCTCACCAGCTTCGCTTTTCTCTCCTTCTTCTAAATCTGAGTTGAAGAAATTACTCAACTAGGGTTGATGTGAGTTTATGCTTTCGTTTCCTTTTATTTTGCGATTTCTTGTTGAACTCTCTGATGAGTTGATTTTGCATTTTCCATTTGAGGATTGGAATCTATTATTAATGTGCTTCTTTGTTTACTTGCTTACTTCCCTGTTTTACTCCTTTACTCAGTTTAATGCTTAAAATCAGTGGTTGATGTAATAAAATTTAAAACATGCAATGTAATCTTTCCCTTTTCTGTGTTTGGTGTATTAAAATTAAATTTCATTTCATCCTTTGCTAAACTTAATCTTTTCCCGTTAAAGTATTCTATAGTGAATCTATACAACTTCAGTCTCATTTTCTTTTTGTTAAAAAATCTTCAACTCAAATGTTCTTTAGGTGAAACTCTCTTGTTTGATATTTCTTTAGCACGATTCAAGTCACATTAGGAGAGATCTCATTTGATATAACATCAATTCAATGTTTGAAAATTGAACAAGAACTTATGAACTAACCCTGAATATGAACTGATCTATTAACTAAATTTTCCCTATTTTTGATTGTTGATGATTTTCTCACTACTTTTTGTAGAAAATGACTTTGAAAACCCCAGGAACACCAGTTTCGAAGATAGTTAGGACTCCGGTATCAACTCCAGGAGGGTCAAGAGCTAAGGAAGAGAAGATTGTGGTCACAGTAAGGTTAAGACCTTTGAACAAAAGGGAGCAATTAGCCAAAGATCAGGTGGCATGGGACT